ATCTCTTGGATAGGCCAAACTGTCAAATGACTAGTAAACACTAGAGGAAATATTCTATAACATGGAAATTTGAAAAATAATTCTACTAAATTAATATGATATTGTCTTAAAATTATAGCACTTCCCAAGGGATATGATCTTGTTGCTAATGAGAAAATATGACTATAAATAAAGAAAATCACAAATTCAATGTACCAATTCACATGTTCTTTTTCACATACATGGGTAGCATAAGTGCAACCAAAGACCAGCTTAATTCCCTACTTAATCGACCATCTTCAATTATCTCTTATTATGTCAATTTATATTTTGTTTTTGGACATTCATATCTCGCACATAGTGTCTGATCTTCCTGGGAGCAACAAACTACAAACCCAAAGCAGCAGTGTCAAACACATGACAAAGATAAACAGTACAATCAGGGAATTCTATTCTATTCCTTCTCCTTTAATAATAGTTCCTAACCTGTAATCCCTAACAATAAACATTAAGCAGGCATTTAGTTTCACCAGTCAGACAAAATATGCTACAATGCAAGTTCCATAACTCACCAAACCACCCTTTTGAATCCGCAACAGCCCAGTAACTCTGGGCCTCGCTGCGAGGTCCCGCTTCTCTACGAGTCTCTCCACCGCTGAACAGGAGCAAAGCAGAGTCATCCTTTGCCGCAATTTCAATCCCTTGAAGAATGTGTGTCACAAAAGTGGAAGCTTGGCCAGGATTCTTCTGATAAGACTCTAAAAACCAAGAATCCTCTTTGTCAATTTTGCCACAACTACTACTAGTGTAAACAGAATGCCCAGCAACCATCACAAGGTTTTGAAGCTTGGAGAAAGGGAAATCATCAGAACTCATTTCAGCTTTTACGTAGCCACTTTGCACCTTATATGGGGTTCCATAAAAGGAGAAAATCATGACAAGTATGAACACAAAGAACAAAGCTAAGAAGAGACCCTTTAGAGGGTGAAGCTTAAGGTAGTGGTGCAATCGATTCCCAAATGACTTTATCATTCTGATAGGGTGAAAGGGGGAACTTTTGGGCTTTCGGGTTCGTTTTATGGCAGTTCCCGATTCAAAGTCAAAATCGCTTCTTGGGTATGCGAGAAAGGACTTGGAAGCCTGAGATCCAAAAGGGTAACTGTTCATTGTAATGGGGTTTTCTATTATTTGGGAAAAAGAGTGAAGCTAAGCAACGGAATCATTGGACCGCAGTGGAAACACAAGCGATGAAGGAGTTCACACGGAGCAGTGAGTGGCGAAAATATGGCGTTTGAAGGCTCTAACGATTCACACAGAGAATTAAATTGAAGGACCTGAGTTAGAATAAGAGAGAATGCTCATGATAATGGAGAAGTGAAAGTTTTGGTTTGGTTGAGTGAAATTGCTGAGAATTGTTGTTGCAGCAGTGTGCGTGGAAGAAGTTGCGATGTGGAGCAATGCAGAGGATCAAAAGGGATCCAACTTCGGAGGATCTGTCCTTGTCTGTTTGGAAATCGCTATTTTAACAGGGGAATGAACACTTTCATACAAGTGGTGAATTTAATTCTTAACAAAAATAAAAATTCAATTTAATTTTTAACGTATAAAAGAATTAAATTATTTCTTAAAATAAGTGAAAACTTACTGCCTCCACTTTTTATTATAATAGTAATAAAATTAATTAAAAATTTACTAAGAATAAATTGAATTTATATATATGAAAGAAAATTATGAAAATACCTTTTCATCAGTTTTTAAAATGATTTTATTATATAATAAAGAATACTTGTAAATTTTTACTATAAAAACTTCATTCCAGAGATCTCATTTCAAAAATCATATTTTAGTTTCTTTTGCTAAAAGTTACAAATTCAATTTAATTTTTAACGTATTAATAGTACGCTGGAAATGAAAAAAGAATTGGACCCATTTTTTGCTAAAGTTACTTTTTCGTACTTAAGTCATACCGAACCCTATTGATGTAGGATCATCACTTTAGCCACAATTTGTGACTTCCCATACTTGTATTAATTATATGAATTGATGTTAAATTGTACAATATGACTCAAGAACTCTACATGCCTGATCGTTGGTTTAAATTTCTAGGTCTGCTTTGTATTAGTTGCAAAATTGAGAAGATCTTTTTTCATGTAATGGTATTAAAAAAATGTGAATAAGTAAATTTTAGTAGTTATATTTATATTGGAAAGATTACACGTTTTGTGAGTTGTAACAAGAAGTTGGAGTCTAGTCAAGGCTTCAATCACAGTAAGTATGGTTAATCAAATTCAAAAAGAGTTAAAACCATCTATAAAACTAAACTCTTATTTATTTAGGCTATTGTCTTTAAGAGTTTTACAAATTTAATTTGTGGTATTTATGTTTGTTGAAAACAAAACAAAAGAGAAAGAGACAAAAAGTACAAAAGTAAAAAGAAAAAATGAAAAACAAAAGTGTGTACACGAGACCACTACCATTACTTTTGGTGCAGTCACATATCTTTGGCTAAACATTGTAATAGTATGCACGTTAGAACTGAAAGTGTGTCAAGGGGTTTCAAGTGTCACTCACACTTTCACATAGGATTTTCCTAGCTTAGTGAATTGTTTTTATTGTTCTTTCTACCTTATTTTGATTATTGTAATTCTTGTTTCATTTTTAGGTCTATGTGATATATACGGTGGTTCCTTTGTTTTCAAGTAGAGTGATATTTCTTTGGTTTCTATGAACACTCTACAAACACCATTAGGGAAAATTATTTTGAAGATTTTTACTTAAAAAACATTGATGAAAGTAATCCCAAACTACTCTATCTAGGAAAGACTGAGTTCTAGACTTGTTCACTTGTGACTCACCTCTCTTTCTTGGGAGCTACTTGGAACACTTTTATCATTAATTTCTTTCTAGAAATCCTCCACCAAAAAGAAAAATCTTTTTGGAAAATCTTTATCATTCATAGTTGTGAACATTTTGAAAACCTTTGTGAAAAACTTTCTTCTTCACAACATCATGAGTGATAATTCACATAATTTTAATTTGCATGATAGTTTTTGGATCATAGTAGTTTCCACATTTTGATAGTAAAGTTGATCTAGTGTCATGCTTAGATTGGGAGAAAAAGGTTGAAAAGTGTTGATAGGGGGAGCTATACCTACCCTATATATCTATGTTTTTTATGATGAACAAAAGAATGGTTTTATGGTTTCTTACACAACAAATGGCATAATAATTACTTTACCTTTATTGTGTTTGTTCTTGATGTATGAAATCATTATTGATAAATGATTCATGAGTTAAATAGATTGAATGTTTCATTTCTGGTAAGAAATAATCGGTTAAGTAATGTATATAATCTGTTAGATTTCTCAAAATATTACTATATGATTAACATGGCCAAATAACTGTGTAGTAATCGATTACATAAGTAGTATAATCAATTAAAACACAATGGTATGCCAATATGTGTTTGATAAGTGCATTAATCTATTTGGAATAGAAATTGATTTGAAAATTTGCTTAAATATTGAAGATAATCGATTACATAAGTTTCATAATAAGTTAAATATGTTTCTCTTGTCAAAATCAATTTCATTTAAAGCTTGGATTGTTTCTAACGGTCATATGAATTTATTGCTGGCTTGTATGAATTGTTTAATCGATTGCATGCGCTGTATAATTTGTTAAATCTAAATAGAGGCAAATCTGTTAAAGTAGAAGGAAAAACTTAACAGATTACATTAATTTCGTAATCAATTAAATTGCGTCAGGATTCAAAAATCCTATAAATAAAAATCTTGCTCAATGTTTCAAACTAATCTTTTGAGCTATCAATTTCATAACTAACATTTTGATTAAGTATTTAATACAGGAGAGTCCAAGAACCATCTTCAAGAATCAAGAATAAAAATTAGGTTTATACATAAAGATTCTATCAAGAAATTGGGCTGAACAGTATTGATTCATTCTGCACTATTAGAGTGTACCTGGACAATAAATTTCAATGTTTGAATTTGCAATCTGAGTATTGTGTTCCTATGATGTTGTGCTAGGGGGAGAGAACTGAGATTGTTCTCATAGAGAGTTGGTATTGCTTTCAAGGTGTAAAGAGAGAAGTGAGTGTTCTCTGCTTTTGGTAAGATTGTAAGGGTATTCACATCTTGTTACTATAGTGATTTTGAGTGGGGTGAGAAGTACATTGAGAGGGGATATCTCTGGATGATACTATAAGTGTTGTATTATTACAAGAAGGCCACCTCATTGCTTATTTCAGCGAAAAACTTCATGGGGCCACTTGTAATTATCCCACCTATGATAAAGAACTCTATGCTCTTGTGAGGGCTCTTCAAACTTGGAAACATTACCTTGTTTCCAAGGAGTTCATCATTCATAGTGATCATGAATCACTAAAATACTTGAAGAGCCAACACAAGTTGCAAAAGAGACATGTCAAATGGCTAGAGTTCATTGAACAATTCTCTTATGTTATCAAATACGAGAAAGACAATTCTAACATTAAGGCAGATGCTTTATCAAGAAGAAACAATTTGTTGGCCACATTAGGTGCTCAAATTCTTGGTTTTGATAACATAACTGAATTGTATGCTCAAGATAGTGAGTTTGCCACTATTTATGAGGAATGTCTGCACAAACCACAAGGAGGATTTTATGTGAGATATGGGTACGTCTTCAAGGAAGGCGACATTTGTATACCCCAAGGATCACATAGAAAACTCCTTGTAAAAAAAATGCATGAGGGAGGGTTAATGAGGCATTTTGGGGTAAACAAAACCCTAAGCATGCTAAAAGACAAATTCTTTTGGCCCCACACGAGAAGAGATTTCCAAAGACATTGCTACAAGTGCATCACTTGTTTAAAGTCAAAATCTAGAGCAATGCCTTATGGCCTCTGATGAATCAATATTTTTATACTATTCACTTAGCTTTTTGTACTACATTTGATTAGGAAATTGTGCTTAATTGTCCAATATTTCCTCACTTTTGATATTTGGGCTTAATTTGGCCAATAATTCTTATTTTAATTAATTTGAATTATCTGATGCTAATTATTTCCATTATTAATTACAGGTGGAATATTATTTTGGAACATCAAGAGAGTTGCCACGACATTCTTTACTTGTCACATCAACATTTTTATTTAAATTAAAATGTAATTTCGTTTTTAGGTAGTTTTTGGACACATTTGACTTTTTAGGCCGTTTTTGGGTCATTTTTTGTAGAGGCCCATTAGTGGGCTGACCTACAGTTGTGTGCTAAAGAGGGGGTAGACCCCAAACACACCTCTAACTCTCTCATTTTCACGTTTTCTAGCTTTGGTCAGCAAAGGGAGAGCTCCCCCATTTTGGGGTTTTAGGTTTTCATTNCCTCTAACTCTCTCATTTTCACGTTTTCTAGCTTTGGTCAGCAAAGGGAGAGCTCCCCCATTTTGGGGTTTTAGGTTTTCATTTACATTTCAATGTAATTTCAATTATGCACTTATATTTTCTCTCTTTAGCTTTCAATTTTGTTTCTCTACATTGCTTCAATTCCAATTTCGTTTCTCTCATTGCTTGCTGTTTCGTTTTATTACTTTGGGTTCCATTTCTAAATTTGCATTTCAATCCATTTACGTTTTTGTATTCCAGTCTGCACTTTAAGTTTCGTTTTCCCCAATTTGGTTTTCCCTAATTTCGTTGCAGGTTCTATTGCGTTTCTGTTTTGTGCATTTTTGTAGCAGATTTAATGTTGAATTGCTTTTCGTTTTGTTGCTGCAAATTCGTGTTAATGTTAGTTTAAGTGTTCTTGGTTGGTGTTAGTGAGATTGCAACGTTTTCCTTGAGATTGTTGGTCTATAATGGTGATTTCACTGTTTTAACCTTGCTCCATATTTAATTATGTTCTATGCTTGCAATTGGGTACACGCTTAGTTTCCTAATTGTATTTAATCTTTGCTTAGATGATTAACCTGCATTTGCTTAATCTGTGGCAGCATGGAAATGATTAAATGAGAGCATTATGTTTGCTTAATTCGCTTTTATGACAAACTCTATTTGATTAGGGGTTAGAGTAGTGTGTAATTGTTGATAATTTGTGATTGAAAACATTGCAATTGATCTAGATACCAACCCGTTTTAAACCTGTGTTGAATTTGGTGTTTAATTTAGTTCATTTTAATTCACAAAAACTCTTCACAAACCCCCCCACCAAGTGTTTGATCTAATGACTGAACCAATATTTGGTCCTTGAGAGACAACCTAGGAGTCATTTCCTAGTCTATACTGCACTTTAATTGCATATTAAATTTGATTCGGGTACGAACTCGATCAAATTTTGGCGCCGTTTCCGGGGACCAACGGTTCGGTCTTAGGTTCTTTGTTGTGTTAGTGTGTGTTGTGTGTGCGTTTTTGTGTGTCTTGTTATGGTCTGTGTGTGCGTGTTGCATGTTTAATTGTGTTGTTTGTTGTTTGTTTGAGTCACAATTAAGAGAAATAGGATTTTCTTTGGCTTGTGAGGCACTAGAATGCACTGAAAGAGTTGCACACA